AGTCGCCCAATGCCTCACTTTTGGCTACAAAATTATTTTTAGTCGCCAAAAAGTTTCACTTTTGGCTACTAAAATTTTTTTAGTCGGTAAAAGCCTCACTTTTGGCGACCAAACAACTTTTCAGTCGCCCAATGCCTCACTTTTGGCTACTAAATTTTTTTAAGTCACCAAAAAGCCTTACTTTTGGCTGCTAAAATTTTTTTAGTCGGTAAAAGCCATATATCGGTGACCAAACAGATTTTTAGTCGCCAAAACCTATACTTTTGGCAACTAAATTTTTTTAGTCGCAAAAAATCATTACATTTGGCTACTAATGCTTTTTTAGTCGTCAAAACCTACACTTTCAACGACCAAAGGTGATTTTTTAGTCGCCAATGATGCTTTTTCTTATAGTGCCCATAATCTATACCCAAGCAGTGTCAACCTTAAGACTCATGAACTCATATAAAATCTTTTTGCTTTCTTACGTAGAACAAGCACATTCCATAATGTGTAGAAAACTCACCAAATGTCATTTTTATGAAGTTCATATGTGTGTTGAATTTTCATTGTTATTTATCATGCGGCATAGAACACGTTACCATCTAAACCCACTAAAAATAATATGTGGGACCCACTTTTATTTTAGCTTAGCCAAAAAATAATGTTTTATAAAAACCATTTCCAACAAAAACATACAAAATAAAATAACAATGGTCAGATCTTTATTAATCAACAATTTACATATAAGACAAAGAGAAAGGAAATAGGAGAGAGAGAGAGAGAGCAAAGGTAGTTGAAAGATTGGTGATGACAATGACCATTTCGAGTCAATAGAGCATAGGTGGCGCTGGTGGATGACGGAGATTGATGGCGGTGACAACAATTTTGAGTGGAAAGAGCATATGCAATGGCAATACATGTGATTGAATTGGGGTCAGTGGATATGGTCAAGGTAGCGCAAGAGAGAGTGAGAAATCAAAAGTTACAGAGATGTGAGAGGCAGAGAGAGTTATAGAGAATAAACACTGTTTTAGTCTTTGTTTGGGACGTGAATTTTTTTGACTATTTTAGACTAAGATTAAAATGTCTTGCTTGTGATGATTTTTTTAATTTTTTTGACTTTCGTAAGATAAAAAATGAAATGATTATGATTTAGATATGACATTTTGTTTTCGTGTCGCAATGACTTTTTTAGTTGACTTTTTGGCTCTTTGACTTTTTTAGCCTGAGATTTTTTTATTCGTTTGGTATTTTTGATTGGCTTTTTAGCTTTGAAATGGTGAATTTTTATTTTTTATTTTTTTGTGATTTTTGTCTTTTTATGATTTTTTCACATTTTTTTTTATCTTTTTATGATTATTTAGCCAAAAATGAAAACCAAGCATCAACCTTGTCTTATTAGGCTAAAAAATTTATTTAATATTTTTATGACTAAAATAACCAAAACCCAACCCAAACCTTCATGCTAAATGAATCCTTAGTGTTTTTGGTTCCTAAGGTTATTTTTTACAATTTATATTAAATTTTTTTTTTACTCCTTTCAAAATTTGAAATCTCAAGGATTTCAACTAGCAAACCAACATTAAGTAAACTGAAACTCTAATAAAAACATATAAAAGAATGTATTACTAATCTTCCCTAAACATACCATTATTTTGTAAGATTAAAATTTTGTGATATTAATATTCTAGCCAAACTAACAAAATTGGCCAACCAAATGCCAAACTCACAGATTTGAAAGTGACAAGATCTCACATGGTGGACTGTGAATTTTAGTTCAGTTCTTTCTCCAATTTAGCCAAACAAACATGGGTAAGTGGACAAATATTCACCACTCTCATAAAATATTTCCCTATAATAAATATTTTGTTTTTACCATTGTACCACATTTGCCAAAATTGAGCGGAGAGTATTGTGTGGTTGAGTTTTAAAATATATTTTTTTAATATTTGAAAAAAATTAGAAATTAATTTGGTAAAAGTAAAGATTGAAAAATGTATTTTGAATTTAAAAATTTATTTTTTTTATGAAAGAAAAAATCATATGAAAATAATGAATATTTTGTATATTTTACCAAATTAGTTTTTTAATTTTTTTCTTTCAATAGATACTAAAAAGTGGTTATTGAGTTTCTTTAGTGCAGTTTTTAGCAAATTAAAAGTTAATAATAATAAAAAAGAAAACTAAAAACACATCTCCTGGTATTTTTTAATAATTATTATTTTTAGTTTATTTCCCTTATAAGTTGTAAAAAAAATACTAAACCCGAAACTTTAACCATTTCTTTTTCCTTATAAAAATTCTAAAGCAATTTTTTTAATAAAAAAAAATTATAAGTAATTTCTAAGTTGATAATTCTTAAACCCTAAACTTTAACCCAAAGAAAAAAAAATAAAAAGATAGAAAAAGGTGGAGGTAAAATAAGGTTATGTTTGAATGATAAGAATCTTAAAGGAGAACTTGAATGTCACTACTAATAATAAAATTTATGTGTCAATGTTATTCAAGCATTTAGTTTAGTATAAAATCTTCAATACAAAAACAAGAAATGTTTGCATATTGTGGTCTAAATTATTATTTTTTACTCATAAATAATTAATATTTCTCAAAGAATGTGAGATTCTCATGGATAAGTGAGAGAATCAAATTTCTACCTAACTTGGTAATATGATTTTTACTAGAAACAAAATTCTAATTCATTCCAAACATTAAAATCATAAAAATCTGAAATCATATTATCATTTCCTTTCAAAATTCCTCTCATTCATCATAGTTATCAACTCTTCATTTTAGGCCAAGTTTTCGTTGGGCAATTGAGTTGGGTTTAGGTTGGGATTAAAAAAGTACGAAGTATAAAATAAAATAAATTAAATAAATTAATAAGATAAAATGTCATATTCAAATCATAATCATTTCACTTTTTTTGTCACAAAAAAACAAAAAAAATAAAAGATTATTTCTAAACGGAACTAATTTAGCTAGACTAATTAGCTAAAAAGCCTAACAATCCTACGTTTGGGAAGTGGGTTGGATTTTTGGCTTTTTTGGCTATTTTAGCCTGGGCTAAAAAACTTGGTTTGGGAAGGGCTTTTTGACTTTTTGGCTTTTTTGACTTTTTTTGTGAGAGAAGAGTGTAATGATTATGGGTTGGATGTGATGTTTTGTTTTTTGTGGCTAAAATAGCCTATTTTGTTTTTTGTGGCTAAAATAGCCAAAAAAGCCCCAAAATTTTCTTCCCAAACGTAGGCTTATATTTTGTTTTTTTCCAAATGAACCCTAAGTTAACTTATCAATTGAGAAAATTGTAAATCATTGAGATAGTGAAAAAATAATTAAAATATAGATAAATTTTTTTTGGGAGCAATTATGACAAACGAAAGGACTCACTCATACACAAAAAAAAAATAAAAAAATAAAAAAATAAAAAAATAATTTACATCACTGTAAAATTTAAAATATTTTTTCAGTGTTCCACCACTATGTAATTTTTCTCAATCAAACCAGGTTGGTTCCAGCTGTCACCATTCAATAAGATGTGTCATATATCACTTGCCAATTCTACTTGGTATTATCTTTACTTTTATAAGGTCTTTTTTCCCAATCACACATTGAACAGGTTTATTAACTGTGCTTGTCACTATTAAAAAAACAACTCTGGTTGTCAAAGTTAGGTCATACATCACATGAAACCAAAAGCAAAACCAAAAAAAAAAAATGGGAAAAAGAGAAGCAAATTACTTTGGTGAGTTGGAGCATATAATTGTGTGTTCAAACAAACTTTGTACAGACAAAGAAATGTTTTAGGCATAACCCAACCTTAATAAGGCCAAACAACACAATCAAATTCCAAAATCACTCTTTACCTTCTCTCATTTGACAGTGACAGGGTTCTTTGCCAAATGTAAATCCAACCCTCATTTATTAGACTAATAATTCTCACTATCACTTCTTGTTATTAATACAAAAATAAACAAATAATATACACCAAAAAAGATTTTTATAAAATTTGTTAATGAACTCATTTTTAATTAATTTTATTAGTTCACATAAATTATGTGTCATATTGTGTGTTTTTGTTTATTCATCCTATTGCTACTCACGAACAATTGACGCATTACTGATCTCAAAATAATACGTCATTGCTGATAAAAAAATGCACAATTCAATACATTTCAAATTTTAATATCAATAATTAATGTTTTGTTTGTTTTGGTGATATTTTTTGAGTGAAATATTTTCACTGAATCTGCTCATTTTCTTTTCATCATGAAAAACATTTTTCATTGTACCATACCACATGTTAGAAAATGTAAAAACATATTTTTCGCCAAAATAAATGGACCTATTTAGAACACCTTATTTGCAGCTTAAGAAAGGCTAATTCAATCAAATCCAATTACAAAAAAACTTCAACTTTTTGATCTTATTTTGATTTAAAAAAGCACTTTCTTTGAATTTGGTAGAGGCCTTAAAAATGGTAGTGTTGGGATTCGTAGGTAATGTTGATAAACTTTAGATTATCATTTAACAACACCATAAATAAGTTACTTATTGATTTGTTGACTTATTTAGATTATATCACTTCTTTACTTTTTTTTTGTACTGTTTTTATAAGTAAAAAAGACAGCTCAAAAGGTGAACTGTTTTTCACCAGAATTAACTCATTTTCTTTTTATCATGAAAAACGTTTTGTATATACCATACGCTAGAAAATGTTTTTTCAGTTGGAGCAAATAATATCTGTTTGCAAAACTTGTAAGCAGCTTAAATCCAACTTAAAAAGAGCGCTTTTTGGGCTTTAGTTTGAGTTGAAAAAACAAATAAGTTCGGCACCAGAAAAGTTTTATCAAACAAGTACATAACTATTTAAGTATAAGAATTTAAAATTTAAGTTAAATATACTACAAATAAATTTTGCCGATAGGGGTTTCACTGATTCTCAGGTCAATTTAATAATATCCTATATCAAAAACTCCTGGGTTGCAAAATAATAGGACTAGCCAAAAACTTCAGCCAAATTTGAAGGAATGAACAAAATATTCTGTTGGATTCAATGGAAGTCAAAACACTTGAGCCAAATTTGAAGGAATGAACAAAATATTCTGTTGGATTCAACGGAAGAAAGAAGCTAACACAAGAAAAACTTCTGTAACACCAAGAAATTCTCAGAAATGTCTAGGGTCACTACTTTACATCTCCAACACAACAACAACAAATTGCATAGCTGCCAAAAGCAAATCAAGCAGAGGACGTCTCAATGGATGAGTCCGCTGCAGCTGCAGCTCTTTTCTTGGCAAAGTATTCTTCAGCGCGAGCAAGGTTTTTGGCTACCGATGGCTTTACCCATTTCTTCCGACCAGGGAGTACTGTTAATGAACAGCCAGCAGCCTCGAGCTTCTCCTTTGCTGATGCTGAAAACGCCCGAGCCTTGAAGTTCAACTTCACACTCAATTCCCCATCACCAAGGATCTGAAACAAAGAGAGATATATAAGCACATATCTATATTATCTTTGATTTTTAGATGATTTTAACAGACTGTTTGTTTCGAGGAAAAACATTTTCTGTGGAAAATTTTTCTAGAAAATGTTTTCCTATGTTTGGCTCCGTCCTTAAAACAAATGTACCAATGTCGTATTAGTGGTGGTGGAGGAGGCGGGGCAGCGGCATTGATGGTGGTGGTGGAGTTGATGGTGGCGATAGTCATGTGGTGACACTGGTAAGAATTGAGCTCGAAAAATGTTTTCCACATTTTAAAAGTAGAAAACATTTTCTATCAAGATAGGCTTGCATTTTGTTGATCAGGGCAAACATTTTCCGTTGTACCAAATACCAGAAAATGCAATTTATTTTAAATTATTTTTGGGATAATTACAAAAAAAACTCCTAGAGCTTGAGCCTTGTAACAAAATAAACCCGAGTTTTCAATTTTGTCAATTTAAACCTTAATCTTTTAAGTTATTCTCAATCTAAACAATTTGTTTATTTTCGTTAATAAAATCGACGGAAAAAGAATATTTTAATTTTAAACTCAATATAGATATATATAAAATGTCTAAAATATACTTTTTCATTGACTTTTTAATTACTAAAATATCACCTTCTTCTTCTTCTTCTTTTTTTTTTTTTTTTTTTTTTTTTTTTTTTAATTTTTTTTAAAATTTTTTTATTATTTTTTATAATCAATTTTACTTAACAAAAATAGGCAAATGGTTTAGATTGAAAACAAATAAAAAGTTAAGGGTTTAAATTGACAAAATTAAAAACTCTGGGTTTATTTTATTACAAGGTCAAACTCTAGAGTTTTTTATTTTTAATTTCCCCATTTGTTTTTAAACAAAGACTAAAATAATAACACAAAAAGGTGGAAAAGGAGAAAGAAACGAAAAAGTAAAAAAAGATGTGCATGAATCTCTTCTAATTGTTGCCAAATAATAGGTGTTAATTTCTTAGTTCTCAAATGATGGCCTGATGTACCAAACCAGAAACCTACCAATTAGAGGTTTTGACATCAAATTAACCAAACTATGATCAGTTCATAAGTTTTAGTTTTCAAAATATTCAAAGAAATACTAGCCAGTTACCATTTATTAAATTGAATAAGGAAAACAAGGAGGTGAGGAGGAACATATCCATCCAATGGTTTTGTTCCATACACTTATATGTTATTGCTAATAATTGAGTTTCTATGTAAGTGAGAAAATCAACTTAATTGCTAAAAAAAATTTAGTGGGGTCTCTATGTAAGTGAGAAAATCAACTTTTGCTAAAAAAATTTAGTGGGGTTGCACATTACGGGAATGCTGTAAGTCCAACTATAAGTCCCTATAATTCATATGCTGCATGAATGCTATTCACAAACATTTGTATCAGAGTCCATGTACCACAAGGCCTTCACTAAATACAGTTTCCAATCTAAAAAGAAAAAAAAAAAAAAAAAAATCTGCTATCATTACTGAACTAATCGGATCTTAAGTTGCAAGTATTTGTTCCATAATAGCAACAATAATAGAAGGGCTCTCTTACTGAGCTTGTATCTCATCTCCAACATTTCTGGAGAAGCATAGAAGTAGAACTTTCAATAGAGCAACAAAAACGTAGAGTACAAAATGGATTTTGAAATTTTAAATATCATTGCTGTTTGATACTTAATTTAGTAGAAAGAAAGACTCTGGTCATACTCCAATTCCTAAAGTGTCACTTTCAAGTAGCAAGTGTTAAGCATACCTCTACATGCAAAATATATCTAATGAAAAATATCATTTTGATATGCTTACAGAATGTTTAAACAGAAACAGAAAATATAATGACATGGTTTTTTCCCCTTTAACTGACTCTAGAATATAAACAGAGCATGATTTTAAATATCGGCCGTTATGAATCATATCATTTTCTCAACCTTCAAACAACTTGTCACTAACAATCTTTGACTTCCTATACCATTATTTATTGATATATCAACCAATACTGTCTGATGTATAACCGTGTCCCCAATAACGACACATATTTTTACAACCATGGAGCAGAGTGTAGCATTTTCTCAATTTTCAAGCAATGTCTCACTAACAATCTTTTCTGAGGCTATAAACAAAGTTTTTTTTCAAGATAAATAATGTTTCTGAAAGTCTGTTTGAGGTTGGCAATGATGTGTTCTCGTCACGAAGGGACATCCACACAAAAATGTTACATAGCCATAAACCGTAATATGAACCTGAATGCAAAACGTTCTTTCATGCCCCTAGATGTGTTAAATAAAATGTAAATCCAATGATTCTTTATTACCTTTAAAGGGAGTCTCCTTTCTCTTCCTGATGGGTTTATCAAACCCTTCTTCTTTAATGATGCCAGTGATACCTCTTCACCTTCTTGGAATCCTGAGGCTTCAATGTCTTTTAAGTTTACTGGGACGAACTTTGGTAAACCGGCATGCATACCTTATAACATCAGGAAAAGAAAAGAAATTCATATATTTGTAGAATATGTAACACGGCACATTATATGCACTAGAAGAGCTGATCAGGAAATAACCCAGTTACCAAATTTCTATGGAAAGTCTATTTGAAAAAAGCCTCTTAAGGATGACCATGTATCGCAAAGATATTGAATTGGAAAGAACTTCATTGGATATATGTTATAATACATTGCAACAACATTGTCACCTAAACATTACACACAAAAAAAAAAAAGAGGGTCCAGCTTTACCTCTCTTAGCAGGTGTGGAATGCTTTGGATTCATTCAACTATTAAATATTCACAGCATGCCGTAGTATTAGTGAATTATTCTGATTCATCACATTTCATTCCCAGTTTCCATATTTATTGCAAAAAGTACCAGGGATCCTATGTGTTCCCCCCCTCCCCCCCAGCTCTTAACATGGATCAACATCACAAATCCTAGACCAGCTACGGGCATGTTCTCAGTGTCCCATTTCTTTTACCACTATTCCATTTGGGATGTGACGTAGTTGGTCAGAGGTTAAAATAACAACAATCAATGGTGGACCAGAAAAAACTTACATCAAGACTGAAAGTATGCAAAAGTCAGGTTTTACATTGATTTTTGCAAAATCTAGAAAGTAAGGCTCGAAATCCATGAGCTATTGAGCGTAAAACTCAAGCCTTGAAAAGTGGGGGGAAAAAAAAAGCTACAATAAAATATCAAAATCTGAAATTTCAATTCATCCAAAAAGTGTTTTAAAACAAGGATTGCAACCCTATGAAGGGATTACTTAAAAAATTACAAAATAACAAGATGACAAATGACATACATCCACTCAATAACAAGCTCACTACACATGGCCTGGATGCAACAATTCAATGACAAGCAAGTGACACATAGCTTTACATGCAACAATCTATCGATAAATGAAGGAATAAATTGATGTATTATTGATGGATATTTATTGATATCTATTACAATGATTCATGATTCCTATAGAAGAGGGTGAGTGTGTAGTAGGTAAGGAGTAGGTGAAGTGGAGGTGGTAGTGGTGTAGTGGGTTAGGTTTAGTGGAGTAGGTGAGGTGGTAGTGGTGTAGTGGGTTAGGTTTAGTGGAGTAGGTTTAAGTGGGTGAAGTAGGTGGAGAGTAGATGAATTTTAACATGTGTCCTACATGCAACCACTACCATCAAAAAGTCAGTGAAAAAATAACATGAAACCACCTCAATGACAAATGACAAGCTGGTCAAAAGTAGCTCAAATTCACCCACCTCCAATGGAGGTTACCTTACAATTAAGAAACTAACAAAAATATTCAATCATACAACTTAATTCAAGAAAATCCAGCTTATTAAAATCTTTTCTTAAAGCTTGATTGTGTGACTTTTGTTCTCAAGAGGTGGTCATCTTGATTGCATTAGGATATGCAAATACTTGGACTTTTGTGTCTTAAAAACACTATTACAAATGATATAGCTCATTTGACTCCTGTCATTTCCAAACAAAGACCAACAAGGTTCATTTGACTTCATAATTGCCACCACCAGCAATCATCCTGGGTAAGAGTTATATATGAATGTTCTGTTTGTAAAAGCATCTTCCAAAATTGTTACCCCTACATTTGTATATATGAAGGTCACATACTTGTCAGTAAGTCATCAAGAGTATGGTCATAGACTCATAACCAATAAGAAAAATACTTAGCTGCCTGTAATTCATGAGAAATGTAGAACTTAATAGCCACAAGCAGAACCAAAAAAAAAAACACACTAGTTCAGGTGAAACCTAGAAATCCAAGGCTTCACTATTTTGGCAATCATAGCAAGTGGTGGCAAGGAAATGTTGCACAATGAGCAAAATAAATCAAACACATTGTGTCTCCACAGAATTGGTCACCTTGTTTCTAGATCAATTGCTTCACCAGTAATATTCTCATTTCATACTTGCAACAACGCCCTACTCCTTTAGATGACCACACAAATATCATTTCCTATCATCTTTACAGAATAATATGCATTTCTGTATGGAACTGAACATACCCAATGACACATTTCCCCAAACAATTGGTGTGCGTGATAAACATATTCATTATCCCATATAAGCATTGAAATTAAACACACACAGTTGAATCTATTGAAATTTACATCTATAATCACAACCCAAAATGCCTTTAAATAACAAAAACATGTAAAACACACACATATACAGCATACATAATGCGAAAATATACCCAATGACACGTCTACCCAAACAAGTTGTGCGCATGATAAATATATTCTCTATCCCATATAAAAGCAGTGAAATTAAACACACAAAGTCGAATCTATTGAAAATTTTGCATCTACAATCACAACCCCAAATCCCTTTAAACAACAAAAACATGTAAAACACATACACACACATAAGTACAGGCATCCATAATGCGAAGTGAAACATACCCAATGACACATTTCCCCAAACAAATGGTGTGCATTATTAACATATTCACTATCCCATATAAGCAGTGCAATTAAACAGAGTCAAATCTATAGAAATTTTGCAACTACAATCACAACCCAAAATCCCTTTGAACAACAAAAACACACATAAAAATATACATACAAGCATATACAATGGGAAGAGAGAAAGAGACTAAAATTACCTCCAGCAATTCCTCTAAGCTTGGGAATTCGTCGATAAAGAGGCATCTGACCACCTTCAAACCCTCTTCGAACACCGGGGCCAGACCTCGATTTCTGACCCCTCATCCCAAACCCACAGCTGCCGCCTTGGCCGGCCGATATGCCCCTGCCCTTTCGCTTGGCCTTCTTTCTGGAACCCGGTTGCGGACTCAGATTGTCGAGCCGAAACCGAGCATTAGGGCTAGTAGCAGTATCATCAGAAGCAAATTGGGATGGTGAAGCTCTGCCCAGAATCACCACTGCTCTACCACTACCCACTTTGCTCTTGATATGAATTTTCAGACAAGGAAAGGAACATTGGGTTGCCTTTAGATTTCTCACATTACCCTGTTTGATGAACAATAATTCAAAGAAATCAGTAAAAATTGGATTTTTAAAAAAAAATCTATCAATTCATATGTATCAATGCAATAGAGAATTGTGATGAGAGAGAGAGAGAGAGAGAGAGAGAGAGAGAGTGTGTGTGTACCTTGAATGGAGAATAGGGGTGATGAAGGATGAGAGTGGGTCTGGTTGGAGTAGTTGAGGAGAGGGAGAGAAGAGAAGCCATGGTTATGGTGGTGGTGGGTTGGCTTTGTGTGTGTTTTGTTTACTCAGTCACTCACTGTCCAACCAAACGGATAGGGTGTGGCGATTAGGGGTAAATTACACTTTCCCCCTCCGATGTTTGATATTTTTTTCACTTTAGTCCTTTTTCCCCTCACTTTTGCCTTTCATATTTCAATTTTTTTCCCCTTCAATTTACTGATAATTAATTTCTCTTTAAAATTAGATAAAAATTACTATGTTAGTTGCCGCATCATATAAAAAATATATTATTATATTAAGATTTAGGATTGTGTTAGATGTGTAACTTATATATAGTAATAATTTTTTATGCCAAGTGATTATCAATGTGTTATTTTTTGTCTAATTTTAAATATAAGTTAGTTTTGAAATAAATTGAGAAAATTTATAACGTGAAGGATTAAAGTGAAAAAAAAAAAATACTTGAAAGACTAAAGTAGAAAAATGACTAAACATAAACAAGACAAATTGTAATTTACCCATTGTAATTATTATTCCATGGATCCAACTTATTAGTGAGTGAATTTTTCACTTGTTTTGATAATGAGAAAATTTTAAATTTAAAAAAAAAATATGTTTTGTGTTTGTGGAATAAATATTTGCTACGATTAATGACACGAGAAAAATTATCAAATTGATAATAATTGAGATTTTTGGCATTTGTTTATGAATTTTGGTTGACATTAATTTATTTGTATTAATTTGTAAAAAAATATGATGTGATAAGTTTAAGTATGATATTTTTGTAGTTATAAATTTATTATTGAAAGTTAAAGCAAGACTTATAAATAAATAAGATTAGTCTATAGAATTGACCATCCTAGATTATTTAAGTTAAAAAAAAAAATTTATTAACCGGACATTAATAAATACCTAACGATAAGATCAAATTTATTTTAAAAATGGATAATAAATAAGAATTTAAAAAGTAAATCGTCAATTTTTATCGATATCTGAATCTTTTTGGGTAGATGAGATCTCCAGGTCCAAGTCCATGCATATCTAATCGTAGGCCCATTTTATAGTTGGAGTTACTGAGAATCTCCTTTGGGCTTAGGTCGTTAGGCTTCTTGTGCAAGGATGGGCTTCTTGAACTTGTAACATCCATGCTTCTTGGTCTGTAAATCAGTAATAGTTATTCTATTTCGACAGAAATCAATCATAATGAGACACAATCCTTTCATATGAATTATGGTGGATAAAAATTGAAAATAAAATACAAATTAGTCATATCCTGACCAAACGGTTTGATCTGGTTTAATTTTCTCAATGCACGATTCGGTCATAATTCTTAAAACAAGCAAATTATATTTTATGATTCGGTCTGTGATTTTATAATTATGATTCCGGTTTGAAACCAAACTAAATCGTTTAGATACACACATGTATATAATTTGTTATTTATCTTAGATATTCAAGTACCTTACTAATTTCTAACATATATATTCATAAGTTTTTTCTTTTTGAGCAACAAACAAAATAAAATTTTATTAAAGTAAAGAAGGATTACAACATGGCTTAGGGAAAAGTTCCATCATTGTCAAAACTAAGTGATTGGTCATGTTTCAATCAAAAATAAAGAACTAAACAAAATACTAATTCAATAGAATAGTAGATTGTCCAGGTACCGTACCACGAGGATTTTGGGCTAAGTTGTATCAATTTGAGTGGCAATTTCTAATTTGATTTGAAGAGAGGATGATTTGATTTTTGCTAATGATAATTTAAATTAAAACTAAAATAAATGTGCAAATAAAGAGAATAATCTGAATATGGAGAGAGACTTGGGATTTTGAATCCACTACTAATCTCATATCATATAATTAAAATATCAAATTCTAGTAAATCAATAGCCCAAATAATAAATGATGTATCGTGGCTATAAGCCCCAATATCATCGTTAAGAAGGTGAGTATATTTAAAACTTAGGCACGAATCATCTTCGGTTGACACGAATATCTACACTAAACTAAGGTTGCAGTATGATTCGTCTCCCCTAAACATGACTTATCTCAAGATTTATATATACAAAAAAATAAAACAGTTGTATGATCATGAATTCTCAATTACAGAAATCGAATACATAAATCGAATAAAAAGATTATTTGAATAAAAGATCTAAAAACGACCATACAACGATTATCCAATTATAAAGAAAAACTAGAATTAAAATACAAAATTATATGATTACAGTTTCATCTCAATCCTAAAAAGAAAACTTAGCCACTCATGGAGAGGTTGAACACATCAAATGTTGAAGAGAACGCCATGGATTGATGATTGCTCTTCTTCTCTAGCTTCTAGTCGTCTTCTCTAGGGTTTTAGATGCCAAAACAGGTCCCCAAAACCTCTGTTTAGAACCTCTAGTCAATTCTGAGTAAAAACAATGTGCACAAAGAACGAGGCAAATCCGCTCATGTGGTTTAAAAATTCCTCTCTAGCGAATCAACACAAAGACAAAACTTGGTCAGGGAAATCCGCTCATGCAGATTTGTACATTTCGCTTGTGCAGATTCACTCAGTGACGAATTTTCACTCTTTTTGTGATCCTTTTGTATCTGGAGTGATATTAACTTGAAGAGGAAGAAAACCACTTTATTGTATCAAATATCATAAGCTTAAAGACTAAAAACATAAGATAGGGAGCCTAAAAGTATAACATTTCGGCTCAGATCACACCCCCCAACTTACATTTTACTAGTCCTCAAGTAAAGTAAAACAAAGCAAAATCTATCTAAGCCACATTCGTAGGGATCACGATTGCATTTAGCATATATAACAAGCCTTTTAAACCACAAGGTTACCCAAGTGAACGAGTGAAGTCTTGCGAGGGTTTCTAGAGATGATGTCCACAAACATCAACTTGATTGAAGGAATCAAAACTTAAGATAAATTTATACACAAATACTTAGCACCATCCTCTTTTCATCAAAACCAGCCTCTTTCACTTATGACAAATTGCAAGTAAGCAAGTTAGATAAATCTTCAACTATCCATGAGCCCATAAATATGCAAACGAACAACATCGAATCACAATCAGATGTAAGGTATCACATGTTGTTTTCAAATAAATTGAGATTCGGTGTGGAATGAAAGGCAACATCTCTTACTCATGTACTAAATTCCAATAACTAAGTGTCTTGAATATTTGAAATCCAACATGGGTCTGATTTTTTTTTTTTTATATTTTAATGAATGGATCTTTTAAACTTTCTAATTAACCCATGTAACAAGCGTTTAGGCCAGTGACTCCCAATCCAGTTAAACTTAGAGCACTAGGTGTAGAGACACCCTAACGGGCTTAATAACTCGAGTTAAAAAGGCTATGGATAAAAAATTTTATTTATTTATTTATTTTGTGACTGTGCAATGTTTAAATCCTTTAAGCTTTCTAATTAACTCATGTAGTAAGTGTTAGGCCAATGACTCCCAATGTAGACGGACTTAGGGCACTAGGTGTAGAGACACCCCAACGGGGGCTTAATAATTCGAGTTAAAAAGGCTACGAACTCAAACTAGTCAAGTTTTTTTATTATTTATTTTTGGTAACAAGAACCCATGCTAATATCTCAAACCCCAATTCATCATAAGTAGTTGGAAGTAACATATGATCAGAAATATCAACTTTAACTACCACAACCAAATGTGAACATGTAAGCGCACAAAGTGATAAGTCATACCAACAATCCTCATGCAATGATACCGAAATGAATTCATATTTCATAAGTCATGAATGGTCTAAAAATATCTAACTCACACACCCTTAACCAAGACATAAGCAAACTAGGATGGTCAACATGATAAAGAGTGTAGCACAACCATATTCATATATAAACTCTGTACCAAGCATAAATCCCATGAATCAAGCCTGAGTGCAGAAATATGGCAACAAGTCGACATCCTTTCCCGGCAACGGTGCCAAAAATTGATCGGTCATTTTTCAATCAAAAATAAAGAAATAAACAAAACACTAATTCAGTAGAACAGTGGATTGTCCAGGTATCGTACCACATGGACTTTTTGCTAAGTTGTATCAATTCGAGTGGCAATTTCTAATTTAATTTGAAGAATAGAGGATGATTTGATTTTTGTTAATGAGAATTTAAATTAAAACTAAAATAATTGTGCAAATAAAGAGAATAATCTAAATATAGAGAGAGACTTAGGATTTTGAATCCACTACTAATCTCATATCATATAATTAAAAGATTCAATATAGTAAATCAATGGGTTAGGTAATAATGATGTATTGTGGCTACAAGTCTTAATATCATCGTCAAGAAGATGAGTGTATTCAAAATGTAGGAATGAATAATCTTTGGTTGGCATGAATTGTCTACATTAAACTAAGGTTGCAGCATGATTCTTCTCCCCTAAGCATAACTTGTCTCACAATTTGTATATACAAGAAAGTAAAACAGTTGTATGATCATGAATTCTCAATTACAAAAATCGAATACATAAATCGAATGAAAAGATTATTTGAATAAAAGATCTAAAAACGATCATACAACGATTATCTAATTCCAAAGAAAAATGAGAATTAAAATACTAAGAAGAAAGCTTTTCATCTAAATCCTAAGAAGAAAGTTTAGCCACTCATGGAGAGGTTAAACAATTTGAATGTTGAACAGAATGCCTTGGATTGATGATTGTTCTTCTTCTCTAGCTTTTAGCCATATTCTCTAGGGTTTTAGATGCCAAAACAGGTTCCCAAAACCTTTTTTTTATAACCTCCATTCAATTTTGAGTCAAAAACTCACGCACAAAGAACGAGGCAAATCCGCTCTTGTGGTTAAAATATTCCGCTCGAGCAAGGAAATCCGCTTGTGCGGAATTGTGTATTTTACTTGTGCAGATTCACTCAGTCACAAATTTTCTCCTTTTTTGCCTCTTTTTGAGATCCTTTTGTCTCTAGAGTAATATTAACTTAAAGAGGAAGAAAAACGCTTTATTGTATCGAATATCATAACCTTAAAGACTACAAACATAAGATAGAGAGCCTTAAAGTGTAACATTTCAACTCAGATCACTAAGCATCCCAACTATGTTGGTACCCAAAGTCAG